GTGTTAGTATTATGTAACCAAATTACATACTGTGATTTACTTATATTTACCTACATCAGTGATTTTATAATATGCTAATGTTCATTATCACTTTCTTCATCACTATCACTGTCTGATGAATCTGAAACACTCGACAATGGAAAGTTGTTGCAGAAACTCCCTTCCGCTTCGCAGTTACACATCTCAGTACACTGAAGATTATTTCTCCTACACGTGCATGTATTATTTGAACATGTACATATTGAACAGGTACATCTGATAAGCTCAGCACTTGTTTCAGGGGCAGCCTGCTTTTCTGACAGGTCTCAATTTACCATCTTCCATAACCCAGCCCAGTTTGCATGGATCAGGGATTTCTGGATGAATAACAGTATCCTGGCTCCATATATTGGCCTGCAGATGTAACGCAATATATGCTGATATAAGGCTCCTGCAGTTGGTGGCAGCTTATCTACACCTTGATTGCTTGGCAGAGTTTTGAATCTTTTTCATCGTAAAGTTGAGGCATCTTTAGCAGATACTTTCTTCGTTACGAGAAGACTACACAAATTCCAGTATTCATGCCAAGCTGTGGAAGTCTTCTGAAGATCAATACAAACCAGTCTGTATCATTTCCAGATTCAGAGGCCACTTCTATGCCATAGGGAATCATTAGAGTATCAGCTTCTTCTTGTGTGCTTACAGCTGTTGTTGGAGGATGCTCTGGGGTGCTTGTTTTGACATCTTGCCGTGTGAATTGTGACAGGTACCGCTGAAACCAGAAGAAGAGTGGCTCTTCAGCCAATATACGATCATCTTGGACCAGAAAGAGCAGTGACACTACCAGGCTTCCATACTATAACCGGTTGTGATAACAATTTTCAGGCCTGTAGCCAGGTCCTTTCAAGGGGGGTTTTCTGGGCGTGAGATCCACGGTCAAAGCCCCGGTGGGGTCGGCGAAACCCCAAAGCAAGGGGATTGGGATTTTTGTGCTTTATGGGTCTAAATAATGCTATAAAAGCAGATATGTTTGAAAAGGTCTTTGTCTGGGTGGGTCTGCAGTGCACCAGGTGGGTTGGAGGACTTATTTGGGAAATCTGAAGAGGGGGGTTCGCCAGAAATGAGGGAGGTTTGCTAGAAAAGGGGGGTTCTCTCGAACCATAAAACCCCCCTGGATACGAGCCTGATTATTACTGGACATACAAATGGTGTTGGAAAAAAACAGCCCTTAAGATGTTTATGAAATCACCACCTCATGTTTACATGCTTTGGCCAAGCTTGGGATCATTTAATGTGAGAATGGGATGCAAGGAGTTTTTGTGTAGTCTTCTCTGAACGAAGAAAGTATCTGCTAAAATGCCTCAATTTTACGATGGAAAAGATTCAAATCTCTGCCAAACAATCAAGGTGTAGATAAGCTGCCACCAACTGCAGGAGCCTTATATCAGCATATAATGCATGCACATCTGAAGGCCAATATATGGAGCCAGGATTCTGTTATTCATCCAGAAATCCCTGATCCATGCAAACTGGGCTGGTTTATGGAAGATGGTAAATTGAGACCTGTCTTGTCAGAAAAGCAGCCTGGCCCTAAAGCAGTTGCTGAGCTGTTGTCTAGTGTTTCTCATTCATCAGACAGTAATGAAGAAAGTGATAATGAACATTAGCATATTATAAAATCACTGATGTAGGTAAATATAAGTAAATCACAGTATGTAATATGGTTACATAATAATAACACACACACATTATACATATATATATATATGATATATATTTATATATGATATATATATGTATATATATATATGTATATTTATATATATATATGTATATATA